TGTATGGATAAAAAAGGAGACATTTTATTTTATTCTATGGCGAACTATTCCTTTAAGCTAGTCTCGATGTAGAGAACATTTCAGAGCATGAGTTAAATTAACACACCAACTTCTTTTATTCACAAAAACTAAGAACCTGTCTTTCCTTTTGTTCGCTTTATCTCTTCAAAATGGCACTTTCTCTGAGACTAAGGCAGAACATTTGAATCACCATGACTGAAAGGCAAAGGGCGAATGATTTATGAGAGAACACCATGTGACTGCAGAGTACAGACAGGATTCCCAGTCTCCACACCCTAGAGACTACACTCATAACTACAGTAAGCTTAAAGGGATAGTTCACCTAAAAATGAAAGTTATTTAACAAACTTATGAATACAAAAAATATATATTTTGAAGAATGTCAGTAACCAAACATCGATGGGTTCCGTTGACTTCCATAGTATTTTTTCCCCATATATGAAAGTCAATGGGGCCCATCAACTGTTTGGTTACCCATATTCTTCAATTATCTTCTTTTGTGTTTAGCAGAATAAAGACATTTAAACAGGTTTGGAACAACTTGAGGGTGAGAAAATTATTAATTTTTATTTTTAGGTGAACTAACCATTTAATAATCGTAATAATGCTTTAAAATGCATACAACACCAGCCAGGTGTGCATATATTTGTTTCTGGAGTCTTAAACTGTGCTTGCCCACGTGTATAATATGGTCCACTTAAGTATTAGCACAGGAGACCAGAGATTACATATGGTCAGTTGGTCATTGATTTCCACTTTTCAAAAGTTCAAAGGTCATAATAGCATGTAAAATCCTTGAACATGTTTTAACTCTAGCTTTCCACACACTCATAACGGTTTGAATTATGAAGATTTGTCTTGTCGCAACATGCACGTGATATATAATCGCTTATATCAGCAGCATAATCCCCATGTGCAGAGCAGAAGGGTTCAACACATGCAGCTGAGAACCCTGTGAGAAACAAACAGTCCCAACAGGTTATCATACACCAAAATGATCTGCAGTGAAACCTGTTATAAGTATAGACACGCCCGAATATTCTTCATGGTCTGGTGGTCAGGGTTAGTTAAAATGTCCCACAAATCTCACGGCAGTTCTGGGATTAAGTGCATCCTCTATTAAAAATCCAGACGGTCAATTCGATGAAGGCATTGAGTGGCAAATGACCAAATATTGTTGACAGTCATGTCGCAGCACTCTTGATTTAACCTATTTCCTTGCTTGTCAATCAGCTGCATGAAAATGTGTGATTTTTGCATTTCAGGCTTCAGTGGTTTGTTTCAAAAGAGTGCCATTAACACAGTCACAGTCCTTACAGCTCATTATTCTAAATAAACAGCTAGATTTTAGGGACCATTTGTGCATTATAGGCCAAACGTTGACGAAAAAATGATGATAAAACATAAAACAAGAAACCATGTCAAATAAGGAATTAAAACACATTAACCCTAGTGACAAGTAATGTTGTAATCCCCTTTTACCATATTACCTCGTGACATCACGTGGCACAGATTACCATAAAAAGGTTCACACAAATAGACTGACAGACCGATTATCCATCGCAATGACCAGGCCCTGTTCAGACTGCCAGCAAAAATGAGATTTTTTTTTGCATATCCAGATTTTATCCAGATGGGTTTTTGAAAGTCTGACCAAAAAAAACACGGATTTTTTCTAATCTGATTCTAACCACATATGGAGTTGGTTTGAAATGCGATTCCAATCCATTTTTTAGATGAGTCTTAGTCTGGACGCTCTGGCTGCTCAAATCGGATTTCAAACTGTCTTTTGCGTCACACAACAATAACTTCAAAACTGGTGACAAGAAATGCCTTAAGTGTTCATACAGTGTTGTATAGTACAAACTGTATGTCTAAAGATTTCGGCATTTTCCTGTGTAACGGAGAAGTTCTGCACCGCAACTCGACAGGGCACTTATTTGGAGAGCGAGATGATGCCTACGTCGCCATGCAGATAGGTTGGCTATGTCCGGACACGAATCATATTTGATCACTTGCAATTAATAGTGTGGACAGTCTGCATGAAAAGATCAGATTTGAGAAAAAAATCCGATTTGCCTGCAGTCTGAACGTAGCTAGTTCAGTTTGGTTGTGATCCCAACTTCTGGAGACATGCAAGCCTTGTTCAACTGTCAGCCCAGATCTTTTTTTTTTTTTTTTTTGCATATCCGATTGGAATCCGATCATATTTATCAAGTGTGAACAGCAAAAAAAAAAAAAAAAAATTCACATGAAATCTATTTTTAATCCATTTAAAGCTACATTCATATGTAGTGGTTTGAGATCTGATTCAAATCACATTTCTGGAAATCCGTTTGAGTCTGACCGCTCTGATTGGATTTTGCGTAGCTTCACTTCACGTCAGACGATGTTTCTAGAAAACGAGCTGAACATCTTTGTAGAAGCAAGGTTGTGTTGTTGCAGGTGCGAGTTGAGCAGAAAATTACAATATACACCTGGTCTACACGCCTCTGAGTTTTGAGACCGGTGGCAAAGGGAACACGGAATAAAGCCGCGCATTCCAGCTTCATACGTTTCTGCCACTGCTTCATAAAACATAATAATCCAGCGCCAAGTCAGCATGTTGTTGTGTTGTTAGACAACATCTGTATTGCAAACTTTTTTGCTGTTGTGTGTTTTTTTTTGCATAAGCATACACACCAACTCAATGTGATTGTCATAGAAACCAATGCAGATATTCAGTCAAATGAAAGAGAGCCACGGGACACGATTCGGGTCTGAACCGTTATGACCGTCTAACAGTGTGAACAGTCTAATTCGTTCTAGAACGGTTACTTGGATTCGGCCAGTATTACATAAGACAAGGCACAAGAGTTTAAGCAATGCATATATTTCCTCAAAATTAGTATCTAATAATGATGATATGACCAATTACATTCAGTTTCAGCCCTTTCAGAGTTTTAAATGAGTATTAAAAATGCAAAAATGTACAAGAAAACAGTAAATCCCAAAAATCCATTCAAGAACAGAGAATTATAAATTACATGTTCAAGAAATTGCAAAAGAAAATAAATTGAAAGTAAATGCCAATCCTGTTTATACTCTGATGCTTTGCTCAAATTATTAAGATCTTGTATTTGCAGGCCATTTGTAATCCCGCCCACATCCTACACAGGCCCCACCCCTCTCTTGTGGTTTACAGAGAGAGTAAAGTGCTGGTAGCTGATCCAGAGGTGTTCAGGAAATACACACATGAACCACACGGAAATGCTACGAAAAAGAAAAACAGCTGCAAACCCAAGTAAGAGTAAATATATATCAAAAAAACTGTACAAAGTTTACAACATGGAAAATCAAACCAATTATCTCATGATATTACAACTGAAGCAGAATATTACAACATAAGTAGAATTAAAACAAAGACACCATCTCAGGTTAAAACAATTCATTAAATCCAACATTATGCCATATATAGCTTCTACTGTTATGTTCCAAAAGAAAGATTAGATTATTCTAAGTCAATCACTGTAAACCTATTTCTAAATCTCAAATAAGACACACAAATGTGTAAAAAAAAGCAAAACAAACAAAAGTTTTCACTCAAGTGTATCTCGTTGCATATAAACTAGACGGTCTGAACGGACTCTTTAGCCAGAGTTAGTTTCCCTTTTCAATGTCAGTTTTGTTATTCTGACACAGGTGATCAAGTATTCAGTCAAGTATTCATAGACAGTCAAGAAGTTCTGCTGATTCTCCCACAAGCTTGACTTGTGTAAGAGGAAAAATGACTGTAAACCTGGTAGAGCGTTGATGAAATATACTACTGCATTTCTTTAAGAGTCCAACGCCACTATACCACTGTATAAAACACCACTTTGGAAAGATGTTAGTGCCGTTTTTATTGTGTTGAACAGCCAATTTAAAAAAAACAAAAGGTGGCTGTGTGGCTGTCACTTCCGCATAATGCTTTCGATTCCCGTTCAAAATCTGTAGGATTTACCGTCAAGGCCTGACATATGACCTTGCTAACATAAAGACCCCAATTAGAGAGGGCTTGGAGAGCGCGTCCTTCGCCTTAGTGAAGTGCGATCCCTGCGAGCTGCATGTTAGCGTGTATATTTCTATAGAGTTGAAGTCAGGGCAGGAGAGAGACACCAGCGTAGTTCAGGACATGTGGAGTACAGATGCAAGATACTAGAATCATGGGTCTAAAAGCTATTTGGACTGAGATAACAATAATTTGAACTGTACTCAACTGAAACTGACAGTCTAGTTTTGATCAGAACTAGTCATATGGTCATTGAATGGTACCCTGTGTGCCTCTAAACAGGATATGTCATGTGGTGTGGTATCGAAAGGCGGCAGGTGTCTGAAAGTAAAAAAAAAAATTGACCCAAGTCAAACTGTAGTCTAAATATTTTCTCACTTCCAGGATCTACTTCCTGAGGATAAATAAGGCACTGAGGCAGTGACGACCTTGTCAGATGATGAATTATGCAATAGACTTCCTACACCACAGCATTATATACACATTTACAAGCTTAGTAGCATCTATCTGATTTGTCATTTGCAATTACTAGAAACTGACTAAAGTGAGAAACAGAAGACTTTCACCCAAACACACTTTCATGGTTTGTTAGTGGTTAGTTGTTCAAAGCATTAAATGCAGCTCCTTGTTTAAAACCTAGTTATAATGCACTACATAGTTTCACCTGAGGGAATGTATGTCTAGTAACAGCCCGCAATCACATTAGCCAACATTCTCTGTTCCAGGGGATAGCAGCATAGTAGCAGAGTGAATAAAGTAGCAAAAAGGTAGAAACGAGTTCAAATAAAGTTGATGAAAGAGCACCATAACCAAGAAATACATCTATATGAAAAATGGTCTATAGAGTGAAACAAGTGTGAAAGTAGAGCGAGCAGGCAAGTAGTGTTCATGAATACGCAGGAACATTTCCCATCAAACCTTTTGATCACATGCGCAGGGCCTTTAATTGTTTTTGCCACAGGAACCTTTGCAAACCCTGAATGAAAATTAGCGAGACTAAAATATCAAGATATGATCTGTAAATTGTCAGTATTCCTAAAAGTGACCCTTAGTCACTGCTGTCGTCTTCATCGTCGTCGTCCGACATGTTGTTGCTGGAAAACTCCAAACCATGCCGGCTGTCCGAGTGGGAGGGAAGGGTGGCGCCTGTGGAGAGCTGCTTGTAACAGAACTCGCACACACGCACTGGTTTGGACGACTGACTGGGCAGCAGGAACTTCTTCTCTGAACAGGGGCCGCACACGACGAAGCCGCACTTCCGGCAGTGGTGGCGGCGGTTGACGGGGGTGAACTTCATCTTCTGGCAGCGCATGCACACGGTCGCTTCCGAGTCGGGCACCCAGACCGCTGCGTGCTCGCCGGTGGGAGATTTCCCGCTTTTTTCCAGCAGGTCCGAAACACACTTGCTGATGTGGCTCATCCACTCGGACTTCTCTGTTGCTGTTGCAGCATAGACGGCGAAGGATTTGGTGGGCGTTTTAATGAGCCAGCCATTGCGTAGTTCGCCCTCATCCTCCACAGTGTCTATGGTGACGCTCTCCAGAGGGATGATGTGCTGCTTATTGTATTTCTTCTTCAGGATGACGATGTTGCCGTACACCAGGATGTCATTGAAGAGGAAGAACTGCCGGGCTTTGGGCTTTTTGCGGCACAGCTTTGTGAGAACACCCTCCCCGATGAGCACTCGGCCTGGGATGGCCAGCGGTTGACCTGCAGTGCCAAAGCATGCTTCCACAAACCCGATGCGCTTAGAGTTGGCCTCACTGTTCGCCAAGCGGTCCACCATCTTTCAGACGCCTGGGAAAGAGAAATAGAAAAATAAAGGGTTATAATAGGAGCAGGAACAGAAAGTGATTATAATGACTCTTATCATGACAATATATCAGCACACATAAGAGATAATACCAGGTAAGGCAAGAACATTTCTGGTTAATCAAATCTTAACCAATGCTTTGTGGCTTTTAAATAATTCCCTGAAACGTCTCACTGTTGAGAGATCAAATCAGCGGCTACTTGTATAAATGCAAATGCTTTTTTTTTATATACACAAAGAGGTCCAAAACTCTGACACCACTAGTTAAAATGTCAATATTCCTTTTCTTAAATCAATTATTATCGATAAATAGTTCAAATAAAATCAACAACTAATTTGATTATCAATTAATCGGATCTGCACTCTGTGCTCTGAAACTATCAGCCAGTCATTTCGCTTCGTTTACAGTAGTGAATATCCCATTTCTATGGACAAAATGATATGGAATATGGGATATGGAAAATATTGGAGGACAGAGTGAGCTGCTGCGAGAAAGGTAGGCTATATGATCCAAGTTGTTGCTTTATATTTATAAGCGCTTCAAACAAAAGCATGTTATTAAATGTTGTCTAACAGCATTTCCCACTGCTCATTAGAAGTCCTGGAAACAATCAAATTTTTCTGAGAATTATTAGGCTATAAATTAATTGTACAAAAACCCTCCAGGTCTAAACTTTTAATTGCCAAACATCTATTTATTTGAGGGAAAATAATTTAGTTTAAATGGTGAGAATTCTTTGAAATATTTAGGGGTTCATAATTCATATACCCAAAGATATCAACACGGTTAGTCTAATTGTTTGAATGTCTTGTTTTTTTGACCGCGGGTAACATGTTTGTACCCAAAAAGTAAATCAGATGTCAAGTGGTTAACATGGCATAATCATAAAAAGAGCTTTGTTTGTAGTTACAGTAATACAGAATTTTCTCCACAGACAATACATTTTAAAATTAATTGTATGCCATTTAGCAACACAAGTCATCCAGCTTTTATTAACATAATATTCTAATATTGATCTAGCTTAGTGCAATGTCGCACACCAGCCACAGAGCGAACACACAGAGTAACGTTATAACATAACTTTCAACACACTCAAACGTATTTTAATATGATTGTTTTGACTAAGTAAAACAGTGCTGTGTGTAGTGTAACAAGTGCTGGGGGGTATGACCAAAAATTTGTATCACTGTATTTTTCTAAATTATACCGGTTTCACGGTATACGACGCATTTTATTTTTTTTAAACCACATTTTCTACTGATTAAGAGAGGAAATACTGCAGTAGATTGACTTAGAATGTCCTGTTTTACTGTTACAATTACCACACTAGTATTAAAGGAACACGCCGACTTTTTGGGACTTTAGCTTATTCACCGTATCCCCCCGAGTTAGATAAGTCCTACATACCCTTTTCATCTCTGTGTGTGCTGTAACTGTCTGACGCAGCCACCGCTAGCCTAGCTTAGCACAAAGACTGGAGGTAAACGGCTCCAGCTAGCATACTGCTCCCAATAAGTGACAAAAACGCCAACGTTTGCCTATTTGCACTACCGTTCAAAAGTTTGGGGTCGGTACGATTTTAAATACTTTTAAAAGAATTCTCTTCTGCTAACCATGGCTGCGCTTATTTGATTAAAAATACAACAAAAATCAGTTATAGTATTAAATATTATTCCAGTGTAAATCAGCTGTTTTCTGTGTGAATATATGGTAAAGTGTAATTTATTCCTGTGATCAAAGCTGAATTTTCAGCATCACCAGTGTCAGTGTCTTCAGTGTCAAATGATCCTTCACAAATCAGTATAATATGAGGATTTGATGCTCAAGAAACATTTATTATTATTATGTTGAAACAGTTGTTGGTCTGTCAGTTGTACAGTTTTTTTTTTTTTTTTAGGATTCTTTGATGAATAGGAAGTTCAAAAGAACAGCATTTGTTTGAAATAGAATCTTTTGTAACATTATACATGTCTTTACTGTCCTTGATAAATAAAAGTATTGATTTCTTTCCTCCAAAAAATAAAAATAAAATTCTCACTGACCCCAAACTTTTGAACGGTAGTGTACATGTTGTGATTTGTATATAGCCATTTACTTCCAGTCTTTGTGCAAAGCTAGGCTAGCGGTGGGTGCGTCAGACAGAGTTGCGGCACGCACGGAGATGAAATGGGTATGTATGGACTTATCGAACTCTGTGGGATACGGTGAATAAGCTAAAGTCCCAAAAAGTCGGCGTGTTCCTTTAATACAGGTTTGCAAGGCCCCACAAAATGATGCAACGAGGTGCCAGTAGAGGCACTTTAGGAGCAGCAGAAATAGCGGTTTCCCCAGTAACGGCTGAACACAAAGCAGCGCAGTGCTCATAAACGCTGCTTTATCAGGAAAGATAAAGAAAGATTCAAATAACATCAAAACTTTTCTAAAGACAGTCAGTTTCCTTCAAAGATACATTCATATAAAAACACTCACGCGTTACGCCGCATTTTGACTGATATCGTTTAATAAACATGAGCACTGCACGTTTCAAAGCCTTCTGGAAAATATATTTGTGGCGGGCAGTGTTGTGAACCAATGTTTGGGAAACACTGTTTGACCACTATCAATTACAGTTTAACCTATCCATCTTCACCGTCACACTTAGTAACACATACAGCTGTGCCCTCACCACAGTGCAACAGTGAAAAGGGACCCCTCTCAAACAGTGTCACGCCGCGTTCCGATCGTTGTTCAAGTGACATACACCGTATTGCGCTATATTAAAAATTCATATCATAAAAAAAATCAACACCGGTATTATTCTACATGAACTGGTATACAGCCCAGCACTAAGTGTAACCCCACAATTTTAAATCTTCAAATAAACTGACCTGTATGAGTAAATCAGCAATTGTGGCTATTTTGCGGTGAATTTAAGTGATTAAACGTAACTGTAACAAAAGTCAGGTTCAAATAAGAAGGAAGCGGATATTAAACAACTTTATTCGTAAAATAAACAACAAAATGAAAGGAGCAGCAGCGGCCGATTGCAGCATACAAGCAAAATAAAAACAGCAACGAAAAATGCCCTAGGCTCTCTGCCCCGCCTGCTTCATACCACAATAAAACTTTAGCTCATCCATGAACATGATTTCTCCCTGAGTCCCGTCGGATTGCTTTCGATCGGCTGTGGAGGCAAAGACAACAACTCCCATGATTCCCCGTTCATTCAAGCCATCTTCAAGATACGCCTTAGTTATAGTTTTAAATATGTGACCTCTAGCGGTGAAACTTACATACTGTGCCTTTAATAGACCTCCAATACAAGCTATAATGGCAGATGATCATTTGACCAAAATATATGGGAATTTAATTCATTGACAAGTAACTTAGTAAAGATCTGGCAAGATCAATCAAGAAGAATTTATTATGTATAATAATTTTCAGATTTTAAATCAAAAAATAATCTACAGATTAATTGATTATCAAAATAATTGTTGGTTGCAGCTAGGGATGTGCTTTTGTCAATTTTTCATTTCGAGTACTGATCTCAAAAACGAGTACTAAGGGGTGGGGTTTGTGTGGGAGGGCGGGGCATGTATGAAAGTATGACAAGAAAAATAACTGCCAGATTATCAATAATGCATCAATGTTTTTGAAAAAGAAACAACTAAAAGGAATAGCTGTATGAGGTGAAGCTGAAGAGTACCACTAACCTGAAGCCGTTTCTATGCGACATCCTATATGAGTTTCATCAGATAATGTAACATTACAACTTGTATCTGCACAAGAGGACCCAAATGTAAGTCAACTTGAACTAAGTTAAGTGTTACTCCCGTTGTGGATGCACTCTTGCCGTAATAACAAAACTGAAACACGGGCAACTAAAGCAAAAATAATTTACAACAGTGTTCTCCTTATAAGGTTATGTGGCAGATTGGCGGTGCACATCTTGCACTTAACTGTATTTTCATGATCAAAATGATTCCAGGCATCACTGTGCAATTTCAAATCCATAGTTTTACTTTATTTTGCCAGTCTGGACTGCATGCTACTATAACCAATCAGAGAAAATGTAATATTACTCGTGCACATCCCCAGTTGTAGCCCTAGTCTCTTACATCATCACAAGAAAGACAAGTCTGTTCAAAGGAGATGTGCGTTCCTACAGAACAATACATCATTGTGGACTTTTTTGTTGTTGTTGTTGTTGTTGGAATAGCCTTCAATCTGCAGATTTTTTGATGGAGAGAATGGGTCAATAATATGTATAAATGACAAGCTTTTACAATAAAATGGTAAATATAAAATTAATTTAAACAGATTATCAAAATAGTTCTTATTTGCAGCTCTAATAGTAATCCTCCGATAAATCGAAACCAACTCAAACTGCATCTTTTTGATCAATACATTATAACAGAGTATCCTTTAACAGCGCAAGAGAGAAACAGAGCTACATGAGCTATTCAAGGTAGGACAACAGGATCTGATCATTCTCACATTACATCCTGTCTGTCCACCTCTTCAGTCGCATCTGTGCGGGTCTAAGAAATGAACTAAACCAGTTTTAAAAAAACAACATGTGCCAGAAAATGACAAACACCTCAAAGCTACTGATTCATTTAATAAGCAGGTGCTAAAAACAAGTCAGTGTGTAATACTGTAGTGTCACCCTTGTTTATTCACTCGCCTTTGGACGTAAACAAATTACATAATCCAAAGCTTCTTCAGATGGCAGAGCAGATCATGACAATCGCGCACTGGTTTAGTGTTATGCAAATGATACCAATCACATCTTTGATTTTACATAATTTCTTCTTTGTGAATTAAATTTTTTTTTAATCGAACCGGGTATCGCCCGGTTTCCAAGATACAGGGTGTTTGAAAATGGAGAATCTGAGGTCTGTATGAGGGTCATTGTAAAGCTTGGTGAGCTCATAAGTCACATGAGATTTTCATAAAATCAGTTAAACGCTGGGGGATTAAGAGACCAGAAAATAGTACTGG